TTTTTTTTTCTCTTTTCTGTCGGCTGTTTCGCCAACGCAAAGGCTACTTACAGGTTAAGCTTATATTCATTTCATTGTTATTTGAATGAATGATAACTAGAAATGTCAATCGATCCAATTTCGTGTAATCTTGAGGTTTTAAACATTTTTTTTCTCTTGTCTGTCGGCTGTTTCGCCAACGCAAAGGCTACTTACAGGTTAAGCTTATTGTCATTTCACTGTTATTTGAATGAATCATTGTATTTGTATCGCTATTAAAGGATTCGTATATCCTTCATCTTGTCAGTAGCGACGGTGATTAGGTTGGCATGACACGGTGCATTTAGGTAAGATTAGCTTGTCTAGTATCGCCGTGTCTCTACAATCCATCGTCTGTTGAAAATCTTTTTAGATTTTGAACTTGAGTGCGGCTCTTCAGTTGTTTTCTCAAAAAAAGGAAAAGATTGATATCTTATTCAGTGCTTAAAATCTTAGCTTCATCTTCGTGTTTATGAAATATATGAGAGATGAAAAGAGATGGAAATGACCACACCCAGTTAACTCGAGGTGAAGGTGCCAGAATGTCACTTGAACGATTACTGAAGCCTGATTGTGATTTGCTGTCTTTCTGCTAAATTGATCTTGAAACTGGTGCCGTCATCTTGATCGAATGGTGATTTCAAATGAGTAAAATTCTAATTTATCGAATTGATCATATGTTAAAACCGTTTTGGTTCTTCGGTGTCAATTTGATAGCTGTCACGATTTAGGCAAATTTCTTTTTCTTTCCTGATGGATGTTGATTTCTTGATTTCATAGTTCATTTCATTCAGAACCCAATTTCTTTGATTGCGTCTGACAGCTTTCTTCGATAAAAGCATAATTCGGTGGTATTTCCTGGCGTATCTTTTTCCTGGTGATATTACCTGGCATATTTTATGGTAATTTTAATCTTGAAGTAGAGATGGTGGTGCTAGTGCCGATGGGTCGATGTGCTCTACACTGTTCCTCCTAAAGCTCACCCTTGTTGTCATAACTGCTGATCGTAGGCTTGAGTTAGTGCTATGACTATGTCCTCTTGGATAACCAAGATTCTGTGYTCTTTCACACCATGGMAGCAAGTCTTTTAGTCCGTTCTTATAGTTTTGGTTGAACACGAAGTAGATGATAGGTGTAATGGCACAATTACTATACGCTAAAGCGGTTATTATAATCTCCGATTGTTGAAAATCACAAGGTGGWCTAAAGTCGTAATGGTAGATTAGTAAGACAGTGTAGAGCTTCTCRGGAGTCCAGCAGATGAAGAAMGCAAGAACCACCGTCATGACCATTCTGAATGTATTCACAATTCGTTTTTGTCTGTTAACAACCATATGACCGTGTCGTGTGCCTGGAATTCGTTGTTTTTTAAGCTTGTAGATGATAATGAAGTAGAGCAAAGTTATTGCGCTTAAGGGAAATGAATAAAACAATAGGAAAATAGCAATGTATAGTTTCTTAGTGATGATYCTGCCGTCTAGAGGGGCCCAATACATAATACAAATAGATCTATCCTCATCCTTTAACTTGATCACTTTRAGGTTGGTTAAGTAAGGTGCGTGGAAAATGATCGCAAATAGCCAGGCCAAAGCGACGATGATAAAACAACGACGCGTGCTTCTAATAGCTGCTCTCATAGGTCGGATTACGGCATAGAAGCGCTCAAGAGCGACCAACACTAGGCTATGGATRGATACCATTAGACTAATATCAATAGCAAATGGAACAAACTTGCACATAARCTCACCAAGAGAACCTTTGATAATCCATGTCCCTTTACCYTGATAGATCTGTGATATCACGTACGGCACAAGAAAGATTGGCACTAAGAAATCAGCGAATGCCATGTTAGCTATGAAGAARTTCGCCGGTGTTCTTAATGAGCGATTCTTGTAGACTATGGCCATTACAAGAAAGTTGCACACAACGCCTACTATCAGCACCAGTGAGTAGAAAAATGTCTCGATGACTTGGACTGCAGCRCTTGACGTTATGTCACAGTGTTGAGATGAAGAATTATTTGTACTCATCTTTGTCGGTTTTTACATCMAAGCCGGGTTTGTACAGTTTCTATTCCAAGGCGTTGTTGTTTCCTTGAGGATGTAGTCTGTCAGACCCGTTTTGTGCAGACAAGTTGGTGGAACTATTCCTCTTCAGACCGAACAATCCACGTCTTGACAGCAATTTTAGACGAGCAATCTACAAGGTCACAGTTACACCGACAACTGATCCGCAATCTCTGAATTTCTCTTAGTTTTTTTTACGTAATCTTGTTGCGTCTTTTTACGTCAGCTTGTTGCGTATTTTTACGTTGTTGGACACACCGGTAATAGAYGCACTACCAGGCTTGCGGGAACAGTACTAAACTCGATTATGGAGCAGGAAAAAACCGTCGTTTTACAGAAGAACAGGAGTGGAAAATGATCCAGTGAAGTTTGTCACAAAGGAGGAAGTACAGCGTCCGTGCCGATGGCTTTTATGACTGATAGTATGACGTCAAAGAATCCGATTGAAGTTTTCAATTACTGCGATGTTTTCGAGAACACAATTATTATTGGATAGTGCACTTTAGATTCCTTGTTGATTCGTGTCGTGGAGATATGTTAGCATCTAGCAATATCCTGTATCTATGTATCTCTATAGGTGACCTACGTAAATAGAATATTCAACATTAATACTTGCAACTCTTTATACTTCCACATTTCATACACTTGGCGGTTTTAAAGCCTTTAAAATCTACTCTTAAAGATTTAGATTAGTATCAACACAAATTTCGTTTTCTAGAATCAAAACAAGTSGTGTTGTGTGATATGTTTGACGATTTTACCGATGCAATGTTTGGGTCATATAGTGATTTGTATTGGTAAACGAAAACGGCTAATCAGGATGCSACCARAACGACGCACTGTCAACAATAAACAATGTTTTCTTTTTTATCAGATTTTCTTTCTTTTCGCTATAATAATAGAGTCAATGCCCTAGGCAAGACGGTAAATCACCACCGATGGATAAACTATCACACCTTGAATCTACAAGACTTTGAAATCACGGGAAATTATGGCATCAGTAAGAGGCATTTGACAACTTGAAACAAGTACCGGGAAAATACTCTCGCAAATGCTCATAAACACGTCATGTTTGTAGCATTTTAGGTATCTTATGAACAGAGGAACACGTACAAACTGGCATTATCAAATTATTTGAAAATGACAACAACTAATGAATTTTTTAATAACWGTAATCGTAGTATTGACTCCTTTTTGAGTTTTTTTTTATGTGAATTTCTTTAGAACATTTACAGAATAGAAAACAGGCAATATTTTAGATGGAGTTTTGACTTTAGGGTATAATATTTAGTTATCTTTTGGATCTTCTATCGTRAAGTATACCTTCAAAGAACCGTTGCTGATGTGCTCGTACCGCGGTATATAGTGTGGGTGGCATGGGGATGTGCTGTTTGTCGGCAATGATACTTTGTATGTGACATTTAATCAATCTACTCGTCCATCAGATTGATTCTGTCTCCGGCTTTCCTTTTTTCTTTCTTTCATTTTTTTACTTTCGTCTTTTCCCATCCTTTCATTCATTCACTCATTTATTTATTTCAGTTTATCAAGCTATCTATCCCATTGCTTCATCACTTTTTTCATTCTATCTCTCTTCAATCTTCCGACCATGGATTCTTTCAAATTATATTATTMTCATAATTTTATTTAGATATTTTATCTCCTGCATGAAATCCTTAACTTTTCGGTGGCTGTTTTGTTGTGTGTTATATAACAGAGAAGGTGTCACGTTTTGGACACACGACACGATCAAGAACAACCTCGCGTAGGCCTAAATCAAAAACGTTGTCTACTGAGAAAGATGATAGGTTTTCTTTTTAAAAATGATGCCGTCTGAAAATGAAGATAAAAAAATATTAAAAAGGCCAAAGTTTCAAGGTCATGTAATATTATACACTCCCTTTTTTGTCCATTTAGAATTTCATCTTTTTTTTAACTTTCTGCCGGGGGACTCTTCATGGTTCAGAACATCTTATACACTTAGTAATAAACGTGTGTAATAAACGTAATAAAACGTAATAAACGTAATAAATAAAAAGTAATAAACGATGTACTTTAGAAAACTACAATCGTGATGTTTATACAGTTTTTTGTTCTTCTTTGCATTGCCTTTTGCATTTCCTCTCATTYTGTATGTTATCCTGTGTCAGTTTTTGTTCGGCCATTGATAGTGTTGMATGCATACCGCTATCACGTGCTACCTACATGCAAAGCGGGTCTACAATCGACGGCCCTTGTGGTCCAAAAACTTTCCCTGTCTTTGCGGCTTACATTTCTTGATTTAGATGAAATTGATGTTTTCAGATGCGGCGAMTAGTTCATTGCTAGACGTGGGAGACATTCGACCTGGGGTTGCGGCGTTTTACCTTTTATAATCTCTGAATGGAGCTGTAATGTGCGGCGCTGTGGCCTTGACCCTCCCCTCCCTTGACTAATAYAATTGGCTAATTTCTTAGTATACATATTAGAATTCTTGCTGCTTGTATTTAACTTTTATAAAGTAAAATTGCATAAGAGGTTAAGGTTTTTGGTCACCATCCAGGTATGGGAATTGAATGGCACAGAATGGSCGGAATTCATTCTTGCCACTCATCGTCATTGCACASAATGCGCTCTCTCGTTTAATTCCTTAATTACAAGACCGAGAAGGACTCTCAAGTGACACATTTCCTAATCTAAASTCAGCGATTTAAATGTCAAGACGTGATTTCTTYCATGCACTGTAAGTGATAAGTGGTCATTTCCTCTCATTTCCCTTCCTTCCTCTTGGCGATTGAACTGTGAACAGTGTAAGCTAAAACCTTCCTTGCGTCCRTGATCGCCGACCATTAAAACTTAAAATGTCGCAACTATTTCATTGCAATACTGTCAGGAAATTTGAGTATTTTTTTCAGCTTTGGAAATAGARAGAAGTATTTCTTGACTTTCATCTCGAGACTCTCATCAGTCGAATAGTAAAAAATATTTTTATGATCTATTGACCAATAAATATAGAAATATACATATAGAAATTGTGAAATCTAGAAGTACTGTATAGTGAAATAGGTAGCAATAAACCGCAGTAAAAGTAAGTTGTATATAGCAGCCCTAAGATATTACTTGCCCAATTTCACACTATTTTCTATAGCAAAGTGTTTAGCAAATCTAAAGCTTTAAAGAGGCATAAARTCATGAGCTTGTTGTAGATGAATTAGAAGTCTTGACCAGGATARGAATTAGAGCCTAAATTGATTCTYGACAACCATCCCCACCCTTTCCTTCGTCRGAGTTTTATCTCAGRAGCATTGACATCCAACATGTTTGCATATTACATATTTTAGCCACTTTTTTCATTCACATTTTAAACAGTATTTTAAGTGAATTATAATACTATTTCCCATTTTATTTTTATTGTTTTTGATCAGCTTTCCTTATAGCTACATATTTAAAGTGTATTAATCTGATAGTATTGCTTGTCAATCGTTCTCCTAGACATATAACTTTCCTGTATTTCTGTTCTTGCCAATCTTTTAATTTAGATGTTAACGAAGGGTCCCATACAAATATATCATTGTTATATATAGGCGCTATATGAAGACTTCTCATCAAAACACCCARATAAGCATCTTCCACGCTGAACATTTTGACATTCTTACTTTGACGGATTAGTTTTCCAAGCATTTTTCCAGAGAATATATAGAAAGGKCCAATGCAGTAGTCTGGGAAGTAGCGCTCGTGGAACTCGCTATGACTTACAAACCAATGACTGCCTGGACTGCGCATGATTCGTCCATGATGTAGTACCCAGCCAGTATATAGATTATTAGGCAGTTCTTTCTCGTGTAACCACGTGATTAAATGAGGTATATCAACATATACATCATCGTCGACTTTCATTAGATAGTTAGGATTGTATGTATAAGCCCATTTGAAGCCTGCCCAGATCTTATGGACCATATTTCGGTACGATTCTTTAGTTCTAATCTGTAGTATGTCCCCATGTACGTACGATTCGGCTATTAAATCCCTRTTTTCCTTCATATTGTCTGAAACGCCAAGTAAAAATACACAATATACCTGAAGATTATTGTTGAAGTCATTCTGAGTGTTTGAAGATTGAGCTAATACACTAGAATCACTCGTTCCTGTCCAAGTTTCGCGAAGTACTTGACGTCTGCTCGCTGTTTTAGGAATTGAATTGATTAATATAAGCAAGAAGACTTTTCCTTGTATCTTAGGAGAGGTAACATTGTCCCTATTTTTCAACCTGCTTGCAATTTTTCGTAAAGTCTTTGGGTTGTTATACCATGTGAGATGTAAGCCAACAATCATCAACAATGAAAGGACGAYKATTGTTRTTCGTTTTGATGAAAATATACTTGAAAAATACGCAATCCAGCTTGRTTTAACTCTAGATTCCTTCGTACTTGTATGAACTWCAGCCATCAATCTCTTTAAAACTTACGTTTTTGATCCTCATTCGCCATATTTATCTTGTTATTAAGTGAATTTCGCTTAACCGTAATGGCGTTACTAGTGATGAATATTCATAAACTGTTCGGTCGTGACATGTATCTATAAATTTGCATCAATTTACATTAAATATCTAGTTAGTGATTAAAACTCATTAAAGTAACAAAAAGGTTTATGAGCGCATTTAGTAACCTWTATTTTTTCAGTTTTTAAATCTCTTSGCACTCCATCAAAAGTATTGTAACCCGTTATACATATTAAAAAATTATWTTTCTTAAAGTACAGTTTAGGAAGGGATGATGTTTTTATACTGTTTTTCAAGTTCATATATACGACATTTAAGCGGTAATAATCTTTCCAGAACACTGTAACTCCTAACTTGCATGTGGGTGGACGTGAAATAGTTACCTTGCAGGGTGGGATGGGCAAGGGAGTTACTTTTCCACACTCAAAATGAAGTTCATTCCGCTGTTTAATGCTTATTTTTAGCGATAAACAGTGAAGCATTTATCAAGATAACACTTAAGTAATTTGGCTATCATTTTATTTTAGATGGAGTAAAGAAACGTTCTGGATAATGGTCGATGAACGCACACTAATAAATGACAGCACTCAGGTAAGATTTCTTTCTCTATTCCATATGTTTCTTTATTTGATCCCAACATTCCTCCCTTCCTAACTCCCTCCATCTATCAACCCATCCACTTTCTTACTCGTTCATCCATTCGTCCATTTATCCCTCACTCCTTATTCCAGTCATGAATTTCATTTATATTTCTGTTCCCATAATGCTCTGGTGTATTTAACGCAGGTTCCATTGMACCATGGGTAATACTAAAAAAATCCAAGATGGCTGCTGCAGATGTTCAGAAATCTCTCATCAAATACCTGCCTTATGCCGGCGGAGTTAGCTATTCAGTCCTGGCATTAAATACCATGGGAATCAACCTACCATTCCTGGGTGATAATGGCCGTCTGATAGTATTCAACAGTACTCTAGCCTTYTCCCATGTAGGATTYGGTGTTTACATCTACAATCGACCCATTCTTGATGTTATTAAACCATCGAAAACAAAACGTACTATCTGGAGTATTTTTGGCTCGTGGATGATGAATCTAGGTTCTGTACTATTCTGGGCAATTGCTAAGGAGTTAGGGCCATCTAATAAATTTGCAAGAGCGTTCATCGGGCTATCTGCTGGAGGTGTGTTCTTGTAYGTAGCTACTGACCTGACCAATTCACTGGATAAACTGAAAAGAAGTGATTTCCCGATAGAGGAAGACAGAGATTCAGGAAACGAGGATGATGAAGAGTAAATGTGACAATTGTYTRACAACTGCGCACTGTTCAAGTGCAGACACTAGAGCTTTGATAAACTGTGTAAAAACACGAGACTTTCAGCTCTCATCATCAAGATTTGAGATAGTAAGTTATAYAATGGCAAAGACTGACTGGATATAGTATACCATTAGAATAGACTTAGGGTCCTTAAGGCTGATTTAGACGACGGCACAACTTTTGCCTACAAACATCGCATGCAACATGCGTAAGTCGTCCTTGCAACATAGCTACAACTGTCATAGGGATTTAAAACAATTGCTCAATAGCACCACGACAGTTGTAGCCATGTTGTAAGGATGACTTAAGCAGGTTGCATGCGATGGTTGTAGGCAAATGTTGTGCCGTCTAAATCGGCCTTTAGGATGATCATTTTGGGTATGAATCTGCAGTAATGTTGATGAATATGAAGAGTAGATTTCACATGACCATGCAAAAACCACAGCAGTCTCTCCATAACTGTACTGTGCTGTAATCATGATCTCGTCTATCGAAGCAGACAAGGTTTTGTGATTTTGCCATGCATTGTCCTTGCTGTTAGGTAGTCATATGAATACTCCTATTCATTGTTCAGAAGTTCATTTTACTGCCACAACCTGAATGCTGTGGATATTTTTAGTCCTATTCAGATTATTAATCCCTGTTTTAAACATTTGTTTTCTAATAACTTTTTAAATGAGATTCACCAGTCATTCTTGTTGTGGTAGTAAAATAATACATCATTGAATGGCCTCCATATCTAGGGTGGATCTAGCAATTTTCAAAGAGAAGCACAAAAACCATGCTATTTTTATTATAAATGGTGGAGACTAGCAGTTAACTAGTGTGATCTGCGTCTGTGTTTCCAAAGAAACAGTTGTGTAAAACGATATATTTTAACACCTCATGATTAACGTCTGAAATGTCAGTGTGTTATTTCACCTACTTTTTTATGGTGTTAAAATTGACTTTTTACACAACTATTTTTCTTATAGCTGGGGCTGCAATTTATAGTCTCACAATGAGAACCTGTGCAATAAGCAAAGCATGTGATGATCAGATTGAAAAAAAAAAGCGACAGATGTTTAGATATAGTTTTATTCCAAAAACACTTTAAATTCACTGTTAATAAGCTGAATTGGATAGAGGCAAGATACCAAACTGAGATGTCTATACAGTAACGGATCTAGAAGGAGATGAATCAATCAAAATACAATGGTGAATGTGAAGGTTTAGGGCTGTGGAAAAAAAGAAATTTGGATCTACCCTTACTATAGAGTGGAAACGTTAAATATACCTTCTATTATCACTTCTAAGTAGTGTTGATTTTAAAATAGAAAACTAAGGAATTTGAAAGTATATTGCTTGCAACTTAAAATATCTCATTAATGTTGTGATTAATGTGATTTG